TGGACAGTCCAGTTTCTCCCTGTATGAGTCTGGGTTCCCAGAGACTTGCCTGGAACTGGAGTTCAGAGCAGTCGGGAGCTTGAGACTCCCTCCTGATTGAAAAAGACAACCGTGTCCTCAGTTGCCAGCCCTTTCCACATGCGCCTCCATACCTCTGCACTTTACTTCCGCACCTCCTCTAAGTCTCAGTGTGCTTTTCTCTTTCCTTCTAGTTGTAGAATTTCCACTCAGCCAGCCTTCCTGTTGTTCTGGATGATGTCCGTTTTGTTTTTTAGTTGTATTTTTGAAGTTGTTGTGCGAGGCAGCAATTTCCAGTGTTTACCTATGCCGCCATCTTGGTTTCTCCTCTCTGGCAGCCTTTATGATTCTTACTTTGATGTTTTCCAATTGAGTTACAATGTGTCTTGGTGTTGGTCTCTTTGGGTTAATCTTGCTTGGGACTCTGTGTGCTTCTTGAACTTGTGTGAGTTTTTTCTTCCCAGTGTCAGGGAAATTTTCTCTCATTATTTCTTCAAACAGGTTTTCTATTCCTTGCTCAGCTTCCTCTTCTTCTGGCACCCCTATTTTGCAGATGTTGTTTCATTTCATATTGTCCCATAGCTCCCTTAGACTCTCCTCTTGCTTTTTACTTTTTTTCCCCAGTTGCTGCTCTGCTTGGATGTATTTTCTACTTTGTCTTCTAACTCACTTATTCGGTCCTCAGCCTCTTCTAGTCTACTGTTGAAACCTTCCATTGTGTTCTTCATTGCAGCTATGTCATTCTTCATTTCCTTTTGATTCTTGCACATGTTGATGAATTTCTCATCCAGCCTTTTGAGCATCTGTATAACCATTACTCTGAATTGTTTCTCTGACAAATTGCTTGCCTCCATTTCATTTATTTTATTTTCTGGCTATTTCTCTTTTTCTTTTCTTTGGAAATTGTTTCTTTGTTTCCCCATTTTTTCTCTCTCTCTGTATTTATTTCTATGTACCGTGAGTTGCATAGGAAGGATCCTGGCCCTGGACAACCTGTTTGAGATCCAAGAAGTTGAAGCCCCTAGCAGTCCAATGGTTCAGGACTCCTTACCCCAGAGGTTGGGTCTTCCTTGAGTCTCATACCTTTGTCTCTGCTCTGAGTTGTATTCCTTTCCCCCTCAGATCTGGTTCCTCAATTGTCCGCTGCAGGTCCTCAGGGTTGGTGGGGGCATGTGCACACTTCTTCTGATATGTGACTCCAGCATGGGTCCGGCTGCACAGGTGCTGGGTGTGCAGAGGTCCCTGAAGGGCTGATTCCAGGTGCACAGGGACCTGGTATGATAGGCCCGGTCGCATGGGTTCCAGGTGTGGTCCTGGTGAGCTGGGTTCTGGCATGTGGGTTGTTGGTGCACAGGGTGCTGGCTTGGCAAGTGGGCATGCCTCATCCCAGCACGTGGCATCCCTGATTCTCCAAGTGCATGGAGTCCTGAAGTGCAGGGACCAGTTTCAAGGGCAGGGAGGTACAACATGGGAGGTCTCTCTAGCCTGCGGTCACTACTGGGAGCTGGCAGTGAGGGAGGGCGCCACTCACTGCAGGGGTGGCAGGCAAACGGCTCTCTGCGCCAGTGCAGTGTGGTGTCTGAGGACAGTGTGGTTGTTGGTGTGGCTGTGCTCCTGGCCTCCATTGCTCCCCTTCAAGATGGCATGGTCTCCATGCCCAAGCTGCACTGGTATGGGAGTGCCCACCACAGTAGCAGAGGCTCCCCTTCCAGGAGAGCCCTATCCACCAGTCTCCAAGACTCCTGAAAGATCTAATTGTCCCTCACTCACCCACACACACACACCACACACCTCCACACACTCCCCTCTCACTCTTTTACTCACTCTCACTCTCTCCCTCACTGCCATCCTGCTGGCCATCAGATTGTGATGCTCTGTTTGTTTGCTTTTTGTTTATTGTTTTTAATAAACAAAATGCAAGTTTATTGAAAAGAGGCCACATGCTAACTTGACTAACTCCGGGAAGGCCTATGTGGCAGTTTTGCAAACTCAGAGACCTAAAGTAACCACAAAGGTTGGTCTAAAATTAAAACATTTTAATTAAAAAGCAGTTTATGGTGGGTAGTCATACCCTACACCTGACAAAGTTCAAGTTTTACCTTAACTGAGCCTATTGTCTTTTTGCATCTACAATAACATATCGTTGGATTATCAAAGCAATTTTCCTTTTTTCCAAACCC